ATAATTCATCAGGGGCTAAGTCTGTATCACGAGTATAATTGAATGATCAAAAATATAAATTTCTCTACCTTCTTTGTTTTTTTTTTTTTTTTTTTTTAACCATGATATTCATATATCTAATATCAAAAATTAAGTTTTAAGACTAATGGGGTGTGAATGAAACATTGGTCTCTTCCAATTTAATTAAAATTTCAAGTTTATAAATTGAGAATACAATATTACCTTAAAACTCAGTGTGCTATACTCTGACCAAACAAACATTAATTAGTTTTTATAACTAATTTGAAACTATATATCTTGTTGTTTATGCAATTCGACAAATAATGAGCATTTAGATTAGAAGTTGATCATCAACTTAATAGGAATATAAATCTTATAAGATTAAGGGTTTAATTATTCACTTAAAATGTCAATTTTATTTTAAATTTTTCAATGACAACTGCAGACATGAAAAGAAAGGTAAACTAAAATGTAGCAATATATAGTATACCTATCAATGAGAAAGATAGTTTTCTATGGAATAGAGTACAATATCCAAATTTCATTTTTATTTTTTGGGTTTTATCTGTTGGGCCATAAACGGAAAGGAAGGAACCAGAAACTCATCGTTTTGAAACTTTAAGTCATGTTTGAAGTGAAAGGGCGACAATCCCACGCGAATATCCCGAGCACTCATGTGGTAGATGTGATCACGGACCGGTTCAAAGGTCGAATCGGTTTTGAATCGGTCTGGAAAAAAGCAGACCTAGAACTTCTTAAGTCTGGGTCGGATTTAACTCAAACTTAAATCGGCTTATACAGGACCAGTTCAAGTCCTATAAAAGAAATACCCCAGAGCTCATTTCGAAACTGGCCTAGGTCCGGGCCTAGTCCGGGCAAGGTCCAGGTCCCTAATTGGCACAGACCAGAGCAAAATTTAACATGGACTTTATAAATTATAATATACTTTATAATATTTATAATTTATGAAATAATATTAGAGTTAATTTTATTTTTGGTCTTAGATTTATAGGTGAAAATCCACTTTTAGTCATTTTTTATAAAAATATTCACTTTTGGTCCTAGTATTATTGTGACATGACCAATTTTGGTCCCCTATCAACAAAATCGTTGAAATTTCGTTAAATTGAAGGACATTTTGATCTTTATAATACAAAATGCGTTGACCCGTTTTGTTTTGTTTTGTTTTTTTTTTTATGTTTTTTTTTTTTTTGAAAAAATCATAATTGAAGAGCGAAATGTCCTTGTATTTAACGAAATTTCAACGATTTTTTTATAAAGGATCAAAATTGGTCATGTCACAATAATACTATGACCAAAAAGGGATGTTTTGATAAAAAAAAAGGACTAAAACTAGACTGACACTTATAAATCTAGGACAAAAAATGAAATTAACTCAATAATATTACAAGTCTTATAAAAAAATTTAATAGTACAAGTTCAAATGCTATTAAAATCTTATAAAATTTTAATTTTGTAGAAAATCATATTAATTTTTTATTTTGAGATTAATGGTTAAAATATTATTTTAAACAAAAATATTAACTTTGAAAAATTGAGTATTAGTGTATTGACTCTTTATGATTCAGTCGGTTGAGAAAGTAGTGATGAACATATCTTACACAATGTTGCAAAAATTCCGCCTAGGCGCTAGACGCTGGCCCGCCGCCTAGCGTATCACCATAATCGGTGCCGGTGGTCTAGGCGGCTGGCCGGCCGCCTAAGCGCCGCATGGGCACCGATTAGGTCGCCTAGTCGGCCGATTAGCTATTGTTTTCTTCTTTTTAAATAGATTATTTCACTTAAAATGACGTCGCTTTAAACGAAATAACCCTAAATTGTTCAAAATTCTATGTTTTTTGGTTAATATTTAATATTTTAGTATTATAATTATCAAATCTTTAAAAATTTAAAAAATTTAAACAATATTTTTAAATATAAAAAAATAAAATAAAAAATACACGGGCACCTAGGCACGATTAATCGCCGCCTAGGCACCCGATGAGCGCCTAGTGATTTTTTCAACCATGATACTACATTGTAACAGAGTCAGTAGTACTCTCTCTCTCCCTCTCTCTCTCTCTCTCTCTCTCTATATATATATATATATATATATATATATATATATATATATATATATATATATATATATATATATATATATATATATATATACAGAGAGAGAGAGAGAGAGAGATAGTTAAGTTTAGGTGCGGCCGCTCCTTCCCGTGCGGTCAGTGCCGTTGCACCAATGGTTAAGCGAATATACACCATCAACGTTAGGAAATGCATTACAAAAGAACACACAAATTAGGTACGCATCACTAAAAACACACCATTAGGCATGAATAAAAGCACCACACAGTGTTCGGAAATATAACATTAGAAGTGTATGAGTTATATGGTATTTTTTTGGGGTGTGTTGTGTATTTTATGGTGTATTTTTACACTTCATTATTGTGTGTTTCCCTTACACTGTTGGTGTCTTTCGTTAACACTATTGATGTATTCGAAAACGGTCGCACGGGCCGCATTTGAGCAATTTCCTATATATATATATATATATATATATATATATATATATATATATATATATATATATATATATATATATATATATATATTAGCATTATTATATCAAAAAGGTTGAAATAGTTTAAGTTGTAAGAACTTTCGTGGTTAATCATGAGATTAATAGTTTAAATTTAATTTAATAAAAAATTCTGGGTTTAGCCCGGGACTGACCTGGGGTAGGCAGGGCACGGGACCGGCCCAGGTTATCCTGGGTTGATCCTGATTAGTGCTAACCTAGGCCCAGACCCGACCCGGATCCGGCACGAGACCAGTCCATGTCCAAAATTTTGCCACATCTATCATGCGGTAATTAATGTAGATGGTCGCAGAATTGACACTAGGCTGGAGAGGACGGCATCCGTTGATTTTGTGACGGTAGACGATACCGGTAGTTGTGAAGTGATAGGATTTTTCATTATTGAGATGTGTTCTATTGTTCTCGTCTTTTTGTTACATTGTGTCATCTATAGTGTTATAAAGTATTGCGTTACTTCTTATGAACTCTATTTTGATTAGTTCTTAATTATAGAAGTTACAAATTTTAATTTTAAATATAATGAATGTTGTCAACTGTTATGTAGTGTGATGACACATCTGTTACCATTCCAAATGAATGGTTACATGATCAAACTCCGGTGGTGGAGACATTGATTCTTTGAGCTAAAAAAAGGTTATAAAGTATTGTGTATACTTTGTGTTGAGTAAAATATTTTCCATCATTTGAAACACCAATAATATTGACTAAATTTTAAAGTATTGTTTTTTGTTCAATTTTACCGAGAACGTTTATATTTAAGTGTTTAAATATATACATTTGTAATCTATTTTATCATAGAAAATATGCTCCAATGTTCCTACCAAAGCCCGGGAGAAAGTGAATCTGGTTTTTTTTTTTTTCAAAAATGTGAATTGAATATCACACTTGGATTAATTTTTTGAAGCCATGATTAGATTTTAGAAATATTTCAAATTAAAAATTTCATAGACACCAACAAAATTTGGCTGACAAGGAAAACTTGCAATCACTGCTCAACTCTTAAGTCAATCAGCTATGAACAATCTAAACTGATTTACCTCCTCGTAATTTGTCCGTTAAGATCTATCATAAAGTGGAGTTCACCTAGTGCACACCGTCGTGTAGTGGTTGCGGGTTTTTCTCTGTCACCAATATAAATTATAAATTTTAATTATATTATCATTTACAGCCTATCAAGTAATTGTTGGATACAACCTTTTCACCATCCCTACATGGCTACATACATGCGCTAACAGCTAATAAAATTAAATACAGATGGAATAATGGTGATGGAGTGACAGTTCCCCTAATTAACCCTTCACTCGTTCCTATCCTCAACAAAAAGAGGGATCCACCGGAAATCCCCTGATGGAAAAATGCAGCCAATCAGCATCAAGAAACCAGGATGAACTATCTCAAACACCCAATCAAATAAGAGATAGGATTTCATGGTAGGCCCTGTAGTGGCCCCAAAAGTACATTGACCTATTTTTTCCATTATCTATTTCTTCCCAAAACTAAATTAATATATCATCAATCCATCAACAACACAATTAATAATGTTACTAAAAAAAATATAATGCATTTAATGGCAATTACTCCTAATTCATCATATATTAAATGCTCTCAAATATAGAGATATAAAATTTTTCAACACCCTATGCAATAGTATCATAAAGTGTGTGTATATATATATGGGAAGGTTGCCCGCATGGACAGCTCATTGATCAATTGGTTATATGGGTGAAGTTTGGAAAAGAATGACCATAGATCGAGTCTCACCGGCAGTAGTGTGGGAGCAACCTCTCAAAATGAGGGGGCTCCTTAAGCAAATGTCTAACCTCTGTGTTCAACTGAGTTAATTACCATAATTTACATCTCTGTGGGCTCCTTAAGCAAATGAGAGCAAATGTCTAGTCTCTGTGTTCAACTGAGTTAATTATGCTATGTCGGACCAGGAAAGGTTGATATTAGTATGGATTTGATCTATCAATTTTGATGGTTGCTGAAAAATAAATGAAAAAAAAAATGAGATCGGTTGATGGTTGCTGAAAAATAAATGAAAAAATGAGATTAATTTTATAAGTATTGTAAACTTTCCTAGTTATAGACAGCTAAACAATGGTTGGCTTTTTTTTTTTTTTTTTAAAGATTTGATTTGAAAACTTGTAAAGTATTGAGACACACCTCCCAATTTTCTTCATTTACTAAGATTATATTTGAAAATTTGTAAGCTATTGAGACACACCATCTATCCTACCGAGGTTCAAACCTATGATCTCAGAGTTATAGAAATGTCATTGAACTACAATCTATTTTGTTTATTTTTCCTAAAATTTACAAAATAGAATTAAAGACATGACGGAAAGATCGAAACCGTGGGCTATTTGGGTTTTAAATTCAGTGCAAAAGTGCATATTTGTGGGGCATATCCACAGTGCTAAATAATTGAAGGTCCTTTCAGCTATCATAAGCTAGCTTTTTGGCCTCGAGCAATTTTTACAAACAATTTTACTTTTGTTGTTTCCACTTTCCAATTATCGTACACAAGAAACAAATCTCCTATGGTTTCTTCATCGGACAGAAAGTTGGCGAGCGCAGTGGGAGCTAAGACAGCCAGAGCCTGCGACAGTTGCATACGGCGGAGGGCGCGGTGGTACTGCGCGGCCGACGACGCTTTCTTGTGCCAATCGTGCGACTACTCGGTGCACAATGCGAACCTCTTGGCCCGGAGGCACGAGAGGGTTCGCCTCAAAAGTTCTGACCTCAAGACCCCCGATGAATTCCCGAGTTTGGAAAGCCTAGCCCGGTCCTGGCCCCACGGGTTCACTCGTAAGGCACGAACACCGCGGGGCCGGAAACATGCAAAACCTAAATCAGATCAGTCGTTTACCAAACACCCCCTTCTTTTGGTGCCCGAAATCTATAGCGACGAAAATTCGCACAACGACGAGAGCGATGAGCAGCTCCTCTATCGCGTCCCCGTCTTCGACGGCTTCGCGGCGGAGATGTGCACTTCCGGCCGGGCGAACGAGGCGGCCGGGGAGAATATTCCGGACGTCCGGACGAATATTCCGGCATCTCTAGACTTTCGTCACAATAAGGATGACAGTAATAAACCTCCCGGAATCGTCCCGTCGGAATTTGAGCTCGGCGAAATCGAGAGCTTGCTGGGGAAAGGGCTTGATGATGAGTCCTTCAACATGGAAGAGTTAGGGCTTTTTAGTAATTTCAACAAAGTGAAGGTTGAAACCGATGAAGAAGCCGCCATAGCTAATCACAACGTCGCTCTGAAGTTCGACAATTGTGACGATAATTCACCTGTCGCTATGTGTGACGGAGAATACGACGATAGAGGAGGAGAATTGGCGACGATTCTTCAGCAAAGTGACGATTTTGATTATAAAACTGAGAAAAATAAAATCTTATTGAAGCTTGATTATGAAGGTGTCATCACAGCTTGGGCTGACCAAAGATCTCCATGGACGAACGGTGAACGTCCAGATTTGGATTCCAACGATTGCTGGCCTGACTTCACGGTAACATTATTATTTCTTTCTGTGTTGATAATTAATTTTGTGTCATCAATACTTATTATTGCATTTAATATCTATTAATTATTTGAAAATTTTCAAATTCACTACACATTAATTAGAGAAAGGTGCATTAATTAGTAAAAACTTAATTCAAGCAAAATTGTGAATATAAAATACTTGATATAATTTAGTACTTTATCTGTCTCATTTTATGTATGTGGTTCAGTTAACGAGGCTTGACTGAAGTTATTTTTAATTTAATTTTTCATTATGTTAAGTTTAGTATTAGTATATTAAATTTATATATTTAGAAACTACATTAAAAGTATTAATATACAAAAAAAAAATTACATTTAAAAATAATTTTAAAACACTAATAAAAATAAGCAAAGAAGAAATAGATGACTTAACTTGACCAATAAATAGTAAACAAAATAGGTAAAATGGAACATAGGGAGTATCAAATAAGAAAATGACTAGGGGGACCTATTTAATCACAAAAACAAAAGTATTCCCTTTTTTATATTAAATTTTTCAAAAATTTTGAAATTTTCATCTTTCATACAAGATTTTTTAAATGGGAAAATAACATTTTTGTCCTTACATTTATACGAAATAATAGATTAAAAAACAAACAAAATATTAACTTCAACCATTCATGGTGACAATAGCATTATTGGTTCTCCAATTTCTTTTCGAGGTGGAGGCCGGTTTTGGTCCCATTTTTCATGATGTAACAATTTTAACAGTTTTGGTTCATCAATAATTTGTTAGTGACAAATTTATTACTTTTGAATTATAAAATATAATTTTATCCTTATATTTACTAAGAAAATGCGCATCTTATAAAAAGTAAAGAGTCAATAATATTCACATCAACTAACAATTATATTAATGGACTGAAATTGTTATTTCATATAAATATAACGAAGAAAATATGTTGAATTTCAACCTTTTTAAATTTATAAAATAAAATTTTATTTGAAAACTTAAGTATTTTGTTCATATAATATTTTTTTTTTTTTACAAGTGTATGGTAGTAAATGACATTAGTAGTATTGAATATTTATGGTGCATGGTTAATGCCTCCACCCCTCTTGGTTGAGACTTCATAATTTCATATTCAAATTTTGGTGTAACATAGTTAGCGTATCAGTTAATTTTAGCTTATTTGACCACTATTGACTGTTTGATTTGGATAAACATTATATTTAATATAAGTGTTTGATTATTTAGTTTTTTGTAACAACTTATTGCTCCAAAAGCTGCTCAAATTAACTTTTTCGATAAACTTTTTGAGAAAGTCATTTTGCATGTAATCAGCTATCAGTAACAGCTAATTTACCAAACATCTTTCTACAATCAGCTAATGCTATCAACTACTCAAATCAACTAACTCAGTAAGCTACCAACTAACAGCTAACAGCTATTTATGAAACATCCCCTTTATTTCATTCTCGAGACACCTATGTGATAGACTTGTAGTTTTAATTTATCGTTTTAGAAAGAAAAAAATTGATCGATTTTGTCACAAATTCATTTTTAGGACGGATGGGGCACAATTCATAATAATCCATACGGAGAAATGGGATCAATGAGCATAGGTCATGCAGCTATAATGGATGAAGGGAGAGAGGCAAGAGTGTCAAGGTACAGAGAGAAGCGGCGAAAGAGGTTGTTTTCGAAGAAAATAAGGTACGAGGTTCGGAAACTGAATGCTGAGAAGAGACCTAGAATGAAAGGGAGGTTCGTGAAGAGGGCAAATTTTGTGGCACCTCTTTCTAATTTCCCTTTGATCACCAAATAGATATATATATAATATGTCTCTCGATCTCAATATAAAATTTTACGAGAGAATTATGATTATGTACTATATTGCATGCATGTACTTTTGGTACGGAGTATTAAACTTGAGATGGGTCCAAAGATTCTTCAATCTTGGATGGTGCGTTTGTAAATTGAAAAAAAAAAAACAATAAATTAATTACTGTAACATTTTGTTGTAAGATTATTTTTGTTTTGTTTTTGAAAAACATGTTGTGACTACTTGTGACATATGTTCAATTGTACAATGACAAATGTAAATTTTAATAGGAAAATGTTTCTCATTTTTATAATTACCACTCTTTATTAGTCACTCTCGATTTTTTTAAAAAAATTATTTATTTTCGTGGATTAATAATTGGCTTACAACATCTTAAGTTAATAAGGAATTTTCGTATCGAAGAGAAAGATGATATGTGTCAATGTATTTAATTTATCAATGAACTTTCGTAGATAAAACACTCAAATTTGTGGTATTTAAGTTGTAGTAATTTAAGCTATTACTAAATCGATCTATAAGTATTTTTTTAATATATAAATTTACGTTTATGTATAAAACTAGTTTTAAAAATTAAGAAATTGTAACCGTGTAAAGTGAGAACTTTTAAAAACTTGATTTGGATGATCAAATTTATTTGTGTGTCTGTGTGTATAGATCGAATGTTTTAAGGTATCAATCAGTACTAATGTTTTTTGCATCGCTACAATTTTAAAGTGAGCGAAAAAATGTTTTGTGTTTAAAAATAATATAAAATAAGTGCGGTCAATTTGTTCAACAACTTCAACTTGATTTTTCAATTTAATGGTAATGCTAAAGTCTTGGATTGCTATCTAAACAAATAGATATTGAGAAGACAAAACCTAGCCCTGCCATTAAATTGAAGTTGATGTTTCAACCATTATTTTAGTTTAACAATTGAGAGTACAATTATTATTGTGTTATCATACTATCAAATAATGCACATTGAGTACACAAATAATATACTTTTAATATATTAAAAATATATATTGTATTAAAAAAAAATACATTATTTAAGTATTAAAAATATATTATATATTATTTTGTATAATGCACATTCAGTACACAAATAATATACTTTTAATATATTAAAAATGTACATTTTGTTATGATCCATATAGCATGGTCCACACAATAATTTGCCTCAAGAGGGGTGGCCCTGCCATTAAATTGGGAACTTGGATTTATGCAGCGTGAATGGAGTTTTAGTTTCCACGGCGATATGTCAATTTTTGGATTTTTGGTATACTAACACATATTATACAATCACAATATTGTGACTCTTTTCACAAAATTAATGTAATTGACTATTTTTCTAATGCCTTTGTTAAAGAAAAATCCCATTGAACATTTTTATGGAATTTTAATCCTATATATTGACAATTTCTACAAGTGTAATATTATAGGTTTAGGTTATATTGATATATTTATCAAATTGAAATATTATAAGAGCTTCTCATTAACTATAAAAACCGAGTTTTATTGCTGAATTTTGTGGTTTCAAGGGGAGAATATAGGATACCGGAGAGAGACAAAAAATAACTTGAATATAGTAGAGAAGAGTTGAGGGAGACAATACCAACCCTTAGAAAGGATCAAAGTCTATTACGAGGGTTGCCAAACAAGTAAAGATGCATACTCAAAGGTCTAAATTTTGTCACTATTCAATCAGTGCATTTATTAGTGAAAAAAAAAAAAAGAATTGGCCTTATTTATTTTTTAAACGTTATAAGGTATACTGTTTGGAAATAAACTTTTATTTAAATTCTTATTTATCTTTCAGCAAATAGAATTGATAGGTTATTTATAATTTAATGCCTTGTCAAATTGTTCCAATGTATACCATTATACCTAATGGGTTGGGTCAAGCCCAAGGTTGTTGGGAAGAGTATGAAATTTTGGGCCATGACTTTATTGGGTCCAAAGTGTGATTGTGAGCCTAGAGACGAAGCTAGCAATCGTTATGCTATGAGCACGTGCCCACCTTACAAGGTGGGCACGGTTCTATATCCATAATTTCTATACTGTAGATTCATAATTTCTATACTATAGATTCATAATTTTTATACTGTAGATTCATAAAATTTATACTTTAGATTCATAATTTTTAAACTGTAGATTCATAATTTAAATACAGTAGATTCATAATTTCTATACTGCAGATTCATAATATATGTACTGTAGATTCATAATTTCTGTACTGTAAATTCATAATTTCTAAACTGTATAGTTATCAAATTATGAACGTATAGTTCTCTGATTTGTAAAAACAGAGTTCAACAATTGGAATCTAAAGTATAAATTTTATGAATCTACAGTATAGAAATTATGAATCTACAGTATAGAAATTATGGATATGGAACCGTACCCACCTTGCAAGGTGGGCACGTGCTCACAGCAAATGCCCGCAGCTAGAGGGTTAAAGAGGGTAGTTTAGGAGTTTCGAGGTCAAAATGCGAAGAAGTCAGAAGTTTGGGGTGAAAAGACAAGGAGGCAGGGAGTTCAATGTGCAAAGTGTGGTAAAGAGTAAAGTATAAGGTGCTAAGACACAAAGACTAAAGGAATAAAGACATGAGGTATAAAGTGAGGAAAGAAGGAAAGTTTATGGGCCAAAGTGTGACAAGGCAGAAATTATAGGGTGTCAAGTCACAAAAGGTGTGAAAAGTTGGCTAGACTAGCTTAATGGCGTGCTTGACCGACACGAAAATAGCAGAGATGTAGAAAAAATGAGAGAATATGAGGGCAATTGACCCCTTGCACGATCGGTCGAGATGGTCGACGATAGTTGGTTGACGCAAACCATAGTGAGGAAGCACTGATTACTTGGATCGAAAATTAGGGTGAGGTGGCCTCACCCATTAGTCCGCCAGCACTCCACCTTGGGTTCGGTTGGACCATGACGGGGCCATGGCAATCACGGTGGATGCCGGGTGGACTTGCCCGGTAATGGTCTGGTGCAACAGTGGGTGGAGCAATTTGAATTGAGTTTTATGATGAGAACTATCAATACCTAATAGTATTGGGTAAAAAAAAATGCCATACATTTGTTTATCTGTCTATCGGATAAGACTTGAGCCTATCAAGTACCTTTGTTTTTTTTAAAAAAATAATAGTAAAAATACAAAATGGTGTTAAATGAATAGATGCGTAATCATAATTTAGAACCCCAACTAACCCCACTACTAATAGTAAATTAAGCGTTATAAGTCATATTCGTAGAATGAATCTTCATGCCATTACTGTGAACAAGGGTTTATAAATTCAAATTGTAGTAATTAATCTTACCATATAATTTGGGTGTCATTGGTAAAAAGTCATATTCAACTTTAATAATATCATCATTAAAGATTAATAATAGCACGATTTGTGTCATAGGTTAAAGTCATATTCAATTTTGTTAGCAATAATTGTAACTTAATATATTTTAACGATGCTATATAATGTATTAGAAAATTAGATTTTCAAACTTATAATATATTTTATTTTTGTAGAATAGAATGCTTAGCAGAAGAAAATGTTAAAGAAGAAGCGAAAGCTTAGTAGAAGAGAAGGTTTGGTAGAAGATAAGATTCTCATAATAATAATAATAATAATAATAATAATAATAATAATAATAATAATAATAATAATAATAATAATAATAATAATAATAATAAATTAGGTAGAAGAGACATTTCAACAAAAGACTCAGTTCAAATATAAGAGAATAATTATCAAAAGAGTTATATGAGTCAGTATAAGGTGCTTCGCTATTAATTCGAAATTCCAAACTATTAAAAATTAATATTACAAATTTGAAAAGTTTGAGCAAAGGCAAATTGTAGAGTGAGAAGGGTAGCTTAACAGCCAAATGCACAATGTGAAAACAAATTCCCATTTAACTAACTAGTATTTGCGCCCGTGCGTTGCACGGATTGAATTTGTTATAATATTTTTAAAATATTTAGATCGATATACAATTGTATAGATTATAACATCGAATATATATAATATAATTGAAGAATTGAGTTGCATCGATTATGTTTTCTGATGTTATCAATGCTTGAATTCGAGTAAATAATTGCTCAATTAATAGCTAACGTGTAGATATACGCATTAAGTTTTGCAACTTTAGAGATTTTATATATCAGTATTTAGAATTTGTATTAATTGGGCAAATTAGCTCATTGTCTACCAACTTAGTTATAGAAATTATTTATACGGAAGATATATTTTCTATGTAGATATATATCAATTTTGTCATTTTTGTATATAAAAAAAATATAATATCAATGGCTTGAATTATACATTATTAAAAATCTCTTTGTAGACGACATTGGTAGTAGTAACGAAATTTTATCCATCCTCGTCTAGAGTTAAAACCATCAGACCATCAGGCTGGGTGACTCGGGAAAAAACTCACATATAATAAATCGTGATTAAAGACTGGTTTTTTCAGTAAAAACTCAACGTGAGTTAGTATTTGACCTTGACTTTTGTTGATAGTCATGACATATGTGAGCACTAACGTGAATTGTTTTGTTAGAACTTTAAGGGAAATTTTGTATCAGAAGGGTGAAAGACATTTTAATTGAAGATTTTACTTTTATTAATAGTATAGATATAGATTGGTGTAAATAATAATTAATAAATTATTTTCCTTATAAAATTACATAGAATTTCAAATAGATTTTCTCATTTATAGAATTTTAAATGGATTTTCTCATTCATTACGCATAATTTGTTTTCGTTATTCTCACAATTATAATGGTTTAATTATTACCAATTAAATTTTATTAATTTTTTACTAATTAATTATATTCATATTAATTTGGGCTCGAATGTTTTAAAGGAGGATTTTAATTTTATTAAAGTCATTTCACTAAGAAAACTAAAACTAATCAAAGTAAATCTAATCATGCTATATTTATTTGTAACTGTATATTAATTTCATTTTGAAATCATTGGTTCACATATTTGAATTATTTATTTTTTTCTTTAATTATTCTCATTGTAAACATAAATGATATTGCAATAATTAATTTATGATATTTATCAAATTTTATTTTTTTAAAAATATAAAATTTTCTCATGTTTAGGGATTAACAAATATTTTAAAATTATTTTTTATTAGTAAGTCTTTTTACTTTTAAAACATTTTTCAGCAACTCAAACACTCCC